CACATTGTAACTGGAAACAGGACACATCTGTTCTTCGGCTCTAAATATTTTGACAGTTTTCTTGGTGGTTTTGTCATCTTTTATTCAGCAGTACATGAACCCATTTATTCTGGAGGTTGCAAATTTTTTGTGTGTGAAAAATCAGACCTTGGAGATGGCCTTCAGCAGAGGAATATAAGTAACCCCTACAAACCTTGCATTTCAATAATGGGACACTAGACATAAACAGGCTGAAACATTTTCCTAACGTGAGGGTTTCTTGTTGATTTCTAGCTTTACTGCATTGTGGCCTTTAGATATAACTTCTTTGGTATTCGTTGACGCTTTCTGGATAAGAATTGATTCTGATAAGCGTACAGGTACACTTAAGAATGTAGCCTGGGCATGGTAGTGCACACCTGTAATTCCAGCGCTTTGGGAGGCTGAGGCAGGAGGATCACCTGAGCCCAGGAGTTCAAGACCGGCCTGGAAACATAGTGAAACTCCGTCTCTACAAAAAAAATTTAAAAATAAAATAATTAGCCAGGTGTGGTGATGCATACCTGTAGTCTTAGCTACTCTGACGCTGCGGCAGGAGGATCACTTGAGCCCAGGAGGTCAAGGCTGCAGTGAGCCGTGATCGTGCCACTGAACTCCAGCCTGGGTGACACAGTGAGACCCTGTTTCAAAAAAAAAGAAGAGGAGGAGGAGGAAGTGGAGGGGGAGGAGGAGGAGAACGTGTTGTTCGCTCCAATATTCTCTAATTGTACACCCTTGAGATAAACGTTTACAAATGGACAAGAATTTTGTAAGATGTTGGTCAGCTTTGGGAAGTGTTCCATGGACAGCTGGAGGGACACGGATTCTACAGCTGCTGGGCTCAGCACGCTACGTGTGCCCCTTAGTGGAAGAGAGTTCGCCTGTTTAAATGTACATTCCGGCCAGGCGCGGTGGCTCAAGCCTGTAATCACAGCACTTTGGGAGGCTGAGGCAGGCGGACCATGAGGTCAAGAGATCGAGACCATCCTGGCCAACATGGCAAAACCCCGTCTCTACTAAAAATACAAAAAAATTAGCTGGGCATGGTGGTGTGCAATTGTAATCCCAGCTACCCGGGAGGCTGAGGCAGGAGAATTGCTTGAACCCAGGAGGCGGAGGTTGCAGTGAGCCAAGGTCGCACCACTGCACTCCAGCCTGGCGCTTGGCAACAGAATAAGACTGTCTCAAGATAAAATAAAATAAAATAAAATAAAAAAATAAATGAAAGTACATTCCACGCAGTGTGTGGTCTGCTCACCCCATCTGCTTTTCAGAGAGGCAGAATCTCCCACTGTCATTCTGGATTTCTCCTTGCAATTCTGTCCACTTACGTCTCACACGTTTTCAGGCTATGCTGTTAGGGGTTCACAGATGACGTATTCCTGGCCGTCTGTAACCAGTAGTGCTGCTGAATGATCTTATCCAGACCCGACAACGCACTTTGCCTGCTACGATACTTTGCTGTGAACATTGCTCCTAGCGATCCTCTGGCTTGAATTTTCTGGTCTAGTTTTTAGGCCCGTGTTACGACGCTGTGCCCTTCACTTCCCATGGCTTTGTTATGTTTACTCCCTCCTGTTCTTCTATTTGATTGATTTCATTTACTTTATTCTAATTCCCAGCTCCCTTCTGTCTCTCTTTTATGGAAATATCCTATTTCTATATTTCTGATTTCTTTTCCCTAAATTTTTTTTTTTTTTTTTTTTTTTTTTAGACAGACTTGCTCTGTCACCCAGGCTGAGGCACAATCTCAGCTCACTGCAACCTCTGCCTCCTGGGTTCAAGCGGTTCTCCTGCCTCAGCCTCTTGAGTAGGTGGGACTGCAGGTGCCCGCCACCACACCCAGCTAGTTTTTGTATTTTTTTTTTTTTTTGGGACGGAGTTTCACTCTTGTTACCCAGGCTGGAGTGCAATGGCGCGATCTCGGCTCACCGCAACCTCCGCCTCCTGGGTTCAGGCAATTCTCCTGCCTCAGCCTCCTGAGTAGCTGGGATTACAGGCACGCACCACCATGCCCAGCTAATTTTTTGTATTTTTAGTAGAGACGGGGTTTCACCGTGTTGACCAGGATGGTCTCGATCTCTTGACCTCGTGATCCGCCCGCCTCGGCCTCCCAAAGTGCTGGGATTACAGGCTTGAGCCACCGCGCCCAGCCAGTTTTTGTATTTTTAGTAGAGACGTGGTTTCGCCATGCTGGCCAGGCTGGTCTTGAACTCCTGATCGCAGCTGATCCTCCCGCCGCGGCCTCCCAAAGTGCTGGGATTACAGGCGCAAGCTGCCACACCTTGCCCTTTCCCCTAAACTTCTCCAGACACATTTTTGTCCAAACTGTGATGAAACAAAGTGACAAATAGCTTGTTAAGTGATTAAGCATTTCATTTATTTACTGAGGGTCAGGCCACAGTAATCACTGAAGCCTTCCACGACAATTTATCTCAATATTAATATATTTCCCAACCACATATTTTGATAATAGTGGATAAGTGAATAAAAACAGAATTGAATTTATGTTAACTGGAACATGTTAAATAAACCATGAATTGAATTTATATTAACTAAAATGTCATAGTAGTCAAGGTAAATGCATTTTTCTCCTGTTACAGAGATGAACAAATTTTTTTCATTCAAAAGCAAAGAGTAATATAAATATCAAGTAGACTGTCCCTAAGTTGTGTGTTGTGCTTATTAAATACTAGTAAATATGCATCCATATTAAAGTACCGTAATTCACGTGACTTTTCCAGGAGAAGAGCAGTTTTTAGGTGGGGAGAGAGGTGGTTTATGTTAGAATGAGAGGAAAAAGAAACTGCATAGGAAGAAGGTGAAACGGGCAGGCTTTGAAAGCAGCCGGGAACTCTCAGCTCTAACCAAAGCAGCGTGGCTCCCGTGCCGCTGCTCAGTCTCCTGCCAGGCACCTGTTCCTTCCCCATATTAGTCAACATCTGTGAAACGTGCACCAGGTACCTGCTCACAGACGAAGGGATGACCTCACACAAGGAATCAAACCGAGATCGTGCCTGCCCCTCCCCAGTCCTGTCATTCTAACCAAAGACACACGACGAGTCTAATAAGCCAGTGTGGCCCAGCCACAGTCTAAAAACAATGCCCCAATTCAACTTCAGCGGAGGGCTCGGCGGTGCTGATCAACGGAGGCTGTGCTTTTTAGGACCCAGCCAGGCGCGCTCCAGCGGCTCACTGCAACACACCCACAACCTGCTCTCACTGCCGTTCTAGCCTGGCCTCAAGAACAACCGACAGCACAAACATACAAGAAACTCATCCAGCGGGACTCACCTGTACCTACAGACGTATCTCGTTTTACGGTGTTCCAGCTGATTAAGGTTTGCAGATACTGCATTTTTCATGTGACAAATCTGTGTCCCGGTATAACATTTAGGAATTCTCACAATATTCTGAACTCTTTCATTATAATTATATCAGTATGGTGGTCTATAATCAGAGAACTTTGACACTACTATTGTGATGGTTTCGGGGTGGCATGAACCATGCTAACATACGACAGCAAACTTCATCAATAAACGTCGTGTGTGTCCTGACTGCCCCGTTGACTTGGGGATTCCTCCGTCTCTCTCCCTTCCCTTGGGCCTCCCTATTCCCTCAGAAACAATAATATTGAAATTAGGCTAAGTAATAACCCTGCAATGGCATCTAAGCGTTCAGGTCAAAGGAAGAGCTGGACATCTCTTACGTTAAATCGAAAGCTAAAAATGATTAATCTTAATGAGAGAGACATGTTGAATGCCAAGTCAGCACTGTGGCTGCAGCAGCAACCTAGTTCCAAGGACCTCACTAGGTCCCTTCCAGGTGGGCCTGAACTGTGAGTGCTGCAGTGACCTAGCTCCCAGGTGCTCGCTGCAATCCCTTCCAGGTGGGCCTGCATTGTCACTGCTGCAGTGATCTAGCTCCCAGGTGCTCGCTGCAATCCCTTCCAGGTGGGCCTGCACTGTCACTGCTGCAGTGACCTAGCTCCGAGGTGTTTGCTGCAATCCCTTCCAGGTGGGCATGCACTGTCACTGCTACAGTGACCAAGCTCCCAAGTGCTCACTGCATTCCCTTCCAGGTGGGCCTGCACTGTGACTGCTGCAGTGACCTAGCTCAGAGGTGCTCACTAGAGTCCCTTCCAGGTCAGCCTGCACTATGACTGCTGCAGTGACCTAGCTCAGAGGTGCTCACTACAGTACCTTCCAGGTGGTCCTACACTGTCACTGCTACAGTGACCTAGCTCCGAGGTGCTCACTGCATTCCCTTCCAGGTCGGCCTACACTGTCACTGCTACAGTGACCTAGCTCAGAGGTGCTCACTGCATTCCCTTCCAGGTCGGTCTGCACTGTGAGTGCTGCAGTGACCTAGCTCCCAGCTGCTCACTGCATTCCCTTCCAGGTCGGCCTGCACTGTGACTGCTGTAGTGACCTAGCTCTGAGGTGCTTGCTGCAATCCCTTCCAGGTCGGCCTGCACTGTCACTGCTGCAGTGACCTAGCTCCCAGGTGCTCACTACAATCCCTTTCAGGTGGGCCTGTACTGTCACTGCTGCAGTGACCTAGCTCCGAGGTGCTCGCTGCATTCCCTTCCAGGTGGGCCTGCACTGTAAGTGCTGCAGTGACCTAGCTCCGAGGTGCTCACTGCAATCCCTTCCAGGTCGGCCTGCACTGCGACTGTTGTAGTAACTTAGCTCTGAGGTGCTCACTCTGGAGAATGACTTGTTTCCTTCCTTAAGAGTGCAGTAAAACTTTACTGGTCTTGGGGGACAAAGAGGGCCCCACACACTCTGGCAAGCTCAAGAAACCCTTGTTTCTGGGACATGCAGCCTTATTTGAGCCTTCATTTGGGAAGAGGAGGGAGGAGCCAGAAGTCAGAGGAAGGTACTGAGCCAGTGCCCTGATGGGCCCAGTTGCCGCCCTGCCAGTGAAAGGGCAGGTTCCTCCAGGTTGGGCAGTCGCAGAGCTACAGGGGAGGTACTCACACAGGCTTCCTGCTGCAGGTGCTGCAGGGTCCTCTTGGCTGGGAGGAGGAAGCTGGTGAGGCAGTGCAGCCTGTCCCCACTGTGGCACCTCTCGGCCACGCTCAACAGCTGCCAGAGCACCGTGGCTGCCGTGGCCTCAAAAGGTGGGTACAGAGCAGAGAGAGTGCTCTGGATATAGGCGACAAGAGATTCCAGATCCTGAAATGAAAGAGAGAATTCAGAAACTTTAAGGACATAACTCAAAACAAGTGCACACCACAGTCCAAGGCTGGCATTGAAGAATCCACACTGAAGTCCCCTGTCCTGTGACTGGCATGACGTGAGTTAACTGAGGAAGACAAAAGGTGCAGGGGAGTCCGCGGTGCAGGGTGAGCTCCTGGTGTTCTCCCTGTGCTGTCCCACAGCAGAGGGGCAGGCATGTCAGGCAGACTGGTGGCCCTGTCCTGGGCAGGGGCCCCATCCTGGGCAGGGGCCCCATATACCAGCTGTGTAAATGTGGGCTGCCATTCCCATCACAGTCACACTGAGGCACAGCCCAGCCTAGATGTGGGGTGAGTTCATCCCCTGCACCTGAACAGCACAAGGTTTTGGGGTGGGGCTGGGCAGTCCTGTGGGAGGGGCTCCTCCCAGCTCTCCTGGCTTCACACCAGAAGACACTCACTCGTGGGGAGGGCGGAGCTCATCCACGCGCCACTTTTTTTCTCAGAAAACAAGTTCATCCACAGCCAATATATTTTAACTGTGTCGATCATTTAAATAGTACTGACAGCGAAACCCTCAGGACACCCCTTCTCAAGGTCGCCGATTTGTGGCCATTTGGCACCCTAAAAAAAGTATCACTGGCCACCGGTTTCTGCTTGGCATTTTGGTGCAACGTGCTCTTATGAAGAGACGTGATTCTTGTTTAAAAACGTGTAGTGCTGTTTTGGAGGAAACACTTCCGGAGGGCCTACCCCAGGGCTCCCGTGTGTGTGAAGTGCAGGACAGTGCAAGCCGAGGAGGTTAGAAACGGCGAAATCAGTTTTAACGGCACAGCAGGTACACGTGAGACACCTCTGAATAGCTAATCACACAGGTAACGCCCCAAGGAAACTGAAAATAAATGAGGGGCTCCTCTGGCCTGCAGTGGGAGACGGCTGTCCTGTCGGCCGGGCCTGCGACTGGACGTACCTGCAGCACAGCTCAGCGTCTGCGAACAGCGTGACTCAGGGAAGGTCTGGGCTGGGCTCCTGTGTCCTGCATCCCGCCGGCAGAGGCCCCGGCCGGCCCCGCCACTCCAGGGGTCTGCTCCCTTCCTCGCACGCACTGGCTCATTCCCACCCACCTGACAGGGCCACTGACTTGTCGACAGGGATGCTCTAAACACAGTCTGAGTTAGTGCAGAAGTGCTGATGTGATCCAGCTTCCGGAAACTCGGATCACACGCGAGCCACACAGCAAACCCGCAGTCCATGAGGAGGAGTGGGCCAGCCTGGCCGGGGACAGAATCATCCCCGACGGGCACTGGGATGGCTGTGCTTTGGGATTTGGGGCAAATGCTCAATTGACACAGGAGAGATGGGCAGGAAGTAAGAGGAACGGGATCCGGGAGAGGCGTCTTGAATGAGCTGTTCTGCGGGAGCTGAAAAGCCGACACCGGACCATCCCCGGGAGAGGCGTCCTCCTACCTCTCCGATGCCCAAATCCAGGCCCATTCCTCCCCCACCCTCACGTCTAGATGAGATGCGGTCAGCAGCCCAGAGTTGCCCACGGCTACCTTCTCCAGGGCCACCGTCTGAATTGCCCAGCATGAGGAAGGTGGCACCATCAGGCGCTGGCCCTGCCTCCGCCTGCTTCCACGGTGGCTGGGGCAGGCCCCAGGTCCACTCAGGGGTCCCACCTGCACCCCTTCCTCAGGACAGCTCCCAGTGGGGCCACTGAGGGCCTGGGCCAGGCCACAGCTACCCCAGGGAAGCTGCCTGCAGACCCCTGAGCAAGCCACGTGAGCCACGAACCAGGCCCGTTCACAGCAGGCCTCACGTAGCCTTCGATTGCTCACGTGTCCCGTGTGCCTCAAGGGCAGAGTGTGTGCTGTCTCCTGGTCTGGTGTGACTGCAGCACCCCTATTCTGGGAAGCGCCTTTGGGGGTGCTACAACCAGATGACTGCTTTGATGAGGGAGCTGCAGTGTGTGTGCGGGACTCTGATGAAGTGTGAGCCTGACCGGGCAGAGTGTGTGTGGGCAGAGGAACTGCCAGCTGTGCCCAGGCCTCGGGCCGAGGAGAGGGAGCAGACACAGGTCAGGGACCTACAAGCTCACATCCACCAGCTCAGCCCACTTTCTCGCCTTCACAGATCTCAGGATTCTTGTTTCCGCCAAATGTACAAATGCGTGCTGACTTCAAACCCGAAGGTCTTCCAGTTTATGAGATCTGAGCCTCACTGAGGCAGACCATGCGGGTGTGTGCATGTCTGCTGCAGACTGCGTGGGTGTGTGCACATGTTCTGCAGATTGTGTGGGTGTGTGCACATGTGCTGTAGAGTGCCTGGCATGCCCGGTGTGTGCATGTGTGCTGCAGATTACATGGGTGTGTGCACATATGCTGCAGATTGTATGTGTGCACGTGTGCTATAGAGTGCCCAGCGTGTACATGCGTGCTGCAGATCCTGCCCCGGCTTCTGTGTCACCCGTGGTTAGCGGGTCCCTCTGCTTCAGCCCAGGGCCTGACACCTGGAGTGGGGAGCATGGGAGGTACCTGTCACCCAGAAACTTTTAATTCACTGCTGTGGCCTTTGCCTCTGGCCAGATTCCATTTTTTTGAGATGAAGTCTTGCTCTGTCACCCAAGCTGGAGTGCAGCGGTGTGATCTCTGCTCACTGCAACATCCACCTCCCGGGTTCAAGCAATTCTCCTGCTTCAGCCTCCCGAGTAGCTGGGACTACAGGTGTGTGCCATCACTAACTGTGCCCAGCTAATTTTTGTGTTTTTAGTAGAAACAGGGTTTCACCATGTTGGCCAGGCTGATCTCAAACTCCTGATCTCATGATCTGCCTACAAAAAAGCCGGACATCTGTGGGCAGCAGACATCCGCACACACACACACACACACTCTCAGAACTGCACAGAGCACCTCGGTCTCCCTCCAAGCAGGGCCCCTGGGGATGGCAGGGGTGCCCACACTGCCCCGCTCTGCCCCAGTTCCCATCAATGGCCACCTTCTCAGTGCAGCAGGGTGGTGAGTGAGAAGGTCAGGCATGAAACCCACACCCCCAGGAGGCTCACTCTGGTTGCTACCTGGTCACAGCCACTCAGGCCCATTGGGGCCCAGTGATGGCCCCTGGCATCCGGCCCAGGTGCCTGTGCCCATCTCTGGTTTCCTGTCTGTGCAGACTCAGAAACCACCATTGAATCAAAACCTGCCTAGGAAGCCTCGTCCCAAGCAGGGTTTGGTGTGTAGGCTGGTCTGTTTACACCCAGCCTTCTGCACCTGGCGTGTCTACACCAGCCCTGCTTTCCAATCAGGCTACTGTGTATTTTGGATTCTCGACTCTCTCTGCTGGGGAGGCTGAAGATGCTTCTAAGACTAAAGGTTCCATTGGCCCAAAGTTGGTACAAGAGGGTGCCAAGAAGGAAGGATGGCAAGAGGGAAGGAGGGAATGTGCTTTGCCTCCCTGGGTTTCCGTTCTATATTCTTTGAAGAGTTCAGCAATCACCAGAGGCCACATCATCCCCAATTCCTAATGCACTGACTTTGTCACCTGAGTAGATTTAGAAAGATTCCCAGGTCCTGTTGAAAGCTTCACCCAGCAAATGTCTTGCTCCCTGAAATGATTTTCCAATTCCCACATCCAACCCAGTCCACACGCGAAGCCCACTGGAGACACAGGCCCTGGCTGCAGGGGGTGGCTGAGTGCTTTGGAGTTGGGTCAAGCTGGGTGCCTCTGTCCTGAGCCTCTGTCTCTCCTAATTCCCCGAGTCCATGTGGTGACTGTGCTGGAAAGGTGCTGCTCCACTCCACCACACTCCCTGAAGCCCAGGTATACACACCTGGACCCAGGCTGCTGCCCCAGCCCCACCCGGATCGCTGGATTGGGAGCTACTGGGCCACGCGGTGATGCAGGCTGCTCTCAGATGAGCCCCACCGAGGTCCAGCCAGAGCTCCTGGCCACACCAGGGCAAGTGCAGTGCCGGCCTCAGCTCAGTTCCCTCCTCACTGACACATGCCCACCAAGCCTGTGCCCAGGGCAACCCAAGCCCTCCAGGACTCACAGGCCACGGTGAGGCCAGACCCAGGGCAGGGGTGGGCAGGTGGGATCCCAGGGTGAGCCCTCAGCAGCACCGGGCGTCCAGGCCAGCTTCCTGCAAGAAGGGACATCTGAGCAGGGCCCGAAGCTGAGAAGGTCTCGCTGTGTGAACAGATGGGGAAGGAAGCACCGGAGACTCCCCGGTGAACTACCAGCCAGGAATGCCCAGGCTCGCTGGGGCAACGTCATGGAACTTACAACAGCAGCACAGGGAGGAGCCAGGGCCTGGGTGCCCAGGACGGGGCCCGAGCAGAAGAGCAGTGGATCCCAGAGGCGCCAAGCATGGGGTCTGTGGGGGCCAGGGTCCTTGGCAGCAAACATCAAGCAGGCCCTGGCCCGTGGGCTGTGCCTGATGGTACGTGTGGCTGTCTCAGCAGGGCTGGCACCCTTCTCCAGCAGGCAGAGGTGGGCAGGACCTGGAGCAGCATCACAGTTGGCTGAGCATTAATAATAAGCTGTTAGGTCTAACCCTAAAGCCCGAGAGAGGTGGGTCTACACCAGCATGTCCCAGCGGGCGGCCCCGAGCTGTACATCCAGCCTCTTCCCACGTCTGCACTCGGCAGACCTTGGCGGGAAGAGAATCGGGTAAGAACTGCACCCTGCCCATGAGTCTCCACATGTGGGCACACAGAGTACCTCCACACTTGCACACATGCACCTGCACACACACACAGAACTGTGCCCTGCCTCTCTCTCAGCACACACACATCCACACACACTCAGAAACTGCACACAGCACCTGAGTCTCCCTGTGTGCACACATCCACACACACACACACACACACAAACTGCACACATCTCCTTGTGGGTACACACGTGCACACAGCACCTGGGTCTCCCTGTGGGTACACACATGCACACACACACACTCAGAACTCCACACAGCACCTCGGTCTCCCTGTGGGCACACACATG